GAGAAGCTGGAATAGTAGCTTCAGAGTGCAAGCCCCTTCTTCTTCTTCCTCCTCCTCCACGCCCATGCCCTCTTTTTCCTCATCTACTGCGAAATGGGCGATTCAGGCGTCACGGGATCGATATAGTACCTGTGTCCAATACTCCGTCTGATCTTCTCCCTCCTCTTCTCTGTGCGCCGTTCCTTGATCTTCTCTTTTACTCCAGATATTCCAATGTATTGAACATGGTACTTCTTCAACCCTGGAATACTCTTGCCTTGTCTCCATGTGCCTCGGCGACGACGAGACTGCTCGTATTCGATAGAGAGGTTATCAGGGACAGATGAAGTGCGGCGGAGATCGTGGTTGGAGCGGCGTTTGGTGATACGGCCGCCGCCATGGCGTCCCAAAGGTTGCGTAGGAGCTTGAATGCCGAGTTTGGGTGAGGATGAGGAGCCATCACTAGATGAACGAAGAGACTGGGCAATATGTGGGGGAAGATTGACATGGTGTCGACGTTTATTCGTGCCGTGGCGCTCGACACCAAGGGAGTTGCCGATGAGGAAACCACCCGACCCGCGAAGGCCGCCTTTTAGCTTTTTGAGAGTATTGGCTCGTCTTGGTGTCTCTGGTTCAGGCTCTGGATCTTCAACGTCGCTTGTGTCGCCTCCTTGTGGTAGTCTTTCGTCTTCCCCACCCTCATCCTCACTGTCGGAGAATTCATCCCAAAAGCCGCGTGGGCGCCAAAAGGGATGAAGTGTGCCGTCCTCGTCGTTCACGGTAGAGGCCTGTGGATTACGGTACGTGAGTTTTTCCTCTTCATTGTCGTAATGCGCACGACTGGCCCCTTTGCGAGTCAACAGCGGTGTGATGAGGTTATCGGAATAGCGGCGCGCTCGCTGCAGAACAGACAAGCGGCGTTGTGGATTGGAGTCGGAACGACGAGGCGGTCCAGGTGATGGAGCCATCGGCTTTTCCAGTTCCTCCATAGGCGTTGGAGGAATAAAGTTAATCATGGGCGGCTCTGGGGGTTCTCGAGGATTTTCAAGTGATGACTCGGCAGAGTTGGTCTGTGGCAGCTCAGTCTGCATCGGAGGGGTCGAAGGCTCAAAAGTCAGGGTCGGTTGCTGTAATGATTCTTCATTGCTGTTTTGTCGACTCGTCGCAGGGGGCGATGTCACGGCTGGTGTGATACGAGGATCCTGCGCGGTCAAGTGTGAAGCCCCGGTCAATTGGCGCTGTTCCTGCAGCATCGAGTTTCCACGAGCAAGCTGCTGCACGACAAGGAGAGAGTTGTTGTTGTGGGGAAAGATGCTCACAGCAGTAGCCTCAGTGACTTCGACAGTATCGGAAAACTGAGAAAACGGGGTGGACTGGGAAAAAAGATGCCGAGCCATGGCGTGTTCTTCGGTCCGTGAAGCTGAACGTGAACCCGACCGATCGAAGCTGACACGACTCTGGTCACCCGAGTAACGGTGCCAATCAGGTGAGGCTGAGGAACGGTCTAAGGGGAGTGAGAATCGTTTTGGGTCCCAGGAACCTGGTCGTGATGAGCCCGGCCTTGACGCGCGAGAGGCTGGTCTTGAAGGACGTGAGCCTTGTCGCATAATGGGCGATCCATCCTTGAGGGGCGGGAACTTATTTAGGTTCTCCAGTGTAGCAGGATTGGGGTTGGAAGCAGCAACCAGAGTAGCGCCTTCGGCGGTCTCGCGGTCCCCAAGAAGACGTCGAACCCGATCGAGCATGGCAGATGGCACCTGGGCTTCTTCCACAGGGTTACTGGCACCAATGAAGACGTCGCGCTCAACGGGCTCATCTGTGCCCGAACTGGACAACTTGGGAGGGTCATTTTCAACTCCAGTTGGCAGATTCGGATCAGTGACAATAAGCGATTGTCTCACTTTTCTCGACGTTGGTGACATTTGACGTGGCTTTGGCGATATAGGCGGTGATGGTGCGCTTGGAAGCACAGGTGGCTGAGTGAAAGGGTTCCTCTCCTCGTGGGGGCTTGCAGAAGGCAGTATTTCTGAAAAGTTACGAGGTTTGGAGGACCGAATTGTGCGTCTTGCAGTTTCAGGTGCAGAGTTGATGCGCTTGTGGTGGCTCCCACTCAGCCTCGCCGCTGCACTGTGTCTACTCAATATGTCGGCCGCAGGTTGTAGCACATGGCGGACAGATTCTTGGTGCGCTAGTGTGTGTGCTGAGCTGTCAATGGTCCTCTGTCGCAGTGACAATGAAGGGGACATGATGCGATGCGATGATGAAATGTCTGACGCAACACTGCTTCTGCTATTCCGGTCAGCAATGCTTGTCCTCTTGTGCACCAAACGATGGACCGGGGCGCTGTCGGCTTGCGACACAATGGAACTGCGGTCCGAATACGTGAGGGAGCCAACATCTGTCGAAGAGCTCATGTCTCTCCTGTATGCCATGTTCTTGCCAGAGTGTCGCAGGGTTTGCTTCCTTTGGGGCGGCGTGACTATGACCTGGGCCGACACTACAGTCGAGGCTACTGACGCAGTCGAGAGCCGCTTGCTGCTGGCCTCGCGCTGCTTCTCTGATGACATGCGCCTGTTTTCGGAGGGCCAGCCAATGGATTGCGCAAAGTTTTCGACAGACGGCGTGGTCGGGCTGCTGTGGCCGACTTGGACGCGTTTGCGCAGACTCGAGGCACGTCGGGCTCTGGTGGGAGAGGGCGATGCGGTTTCGACAACGGTGACGGCAGGTTCGGGTGTTTTGCAAGGAGATTTTGATTGCGGTCTGCGCTTCTTCCGGACAGTGACATTGCGCATCAGCTCTGTGTTCCATTCGCGATCTGGGATGTCGTCCATGGTCGGGGATACCTGGTCGGGGGTTGTATCCACCGTACCCACATCTTTGGCTGTATCCACCTGTTTAGTAGGGGTAACGGGGAAGGAGGGAGCTTGCAGGGTAGTTGGGGTGACATCATTTTTGTCCTGTTCAAAAGCAAGACCGAGCCCGTGGTCTTCTTGGACGGTGCTGAGCCTGTCAGTGGGTGGTGTTGCACAGGTGCTTTCTTCGCGGTCCGAGGAAATGGGCTCTTCTCTTGCCGTCTGGAACGAGGTGGCTCGGGAGGAGGGATACGTATAAAGCGGTGGGCGCTCGAGGGTGGCATTGGAGCCTTCGGAAACATTTCTTCGCGGCGGACTTGGATCGGGTGTTGGTGGGCTTCTGGCATTGACGGGGGTGCTGAGGGACGACTTTTGTGATATAAGCGAATTTCTCACGCTATCGGCATGGGGCGGCTGCTCTGGGGCGGGAGAAGATTTGCCATCTTGCGAGGCCGTGGGTGGCGTAGGCGGGAGGCCGGTGTCTGCTCCATTCAGCCCTCCCGGTGAGGCGAGCAGGGTGCTGTCCTGGCTGCAGACGGTGGAGTCGCTGTCATCGGTGGATTGTGAGGTATACGAGTCGTCGCGCTCGAGGGATGCTGGGACTGGACGGGTTGGGTCACTGCGGCGCGGGAGCTGTTTGGACTGGCGGAGATTGGGAGCAGCGTGGAAGGCCGACTCGAGGCGGGCATAGACGCCAGGCGCAGGTTCAGCCATGTCGCAGCGAGGAGGAGGGCGATGGTCGGTCGTCGTGTGCCTGGTGGTGGACCTTAGTGGCCGCTGCAAGGTGGCAGTTGGTCTGGCTTCAGGACGAGGCCATGGCGTCGGGGCGCAAGAGGGCAGGGGGGCTCGTGGTTACGTGTAACGGCGGCGGCGTCGGGGTTGGGAGGGGGCCAGCGGTGCCTGGCGGCTATGTAGGGGGCCGGGATGGCAGTGCGCTTGGTCGTGGGCTCTATCGAGGAGATGGTGTGGTGGTGACGCAGGTAGCCTTGAAGGTGCAGCGCCAAGGCTGGCGTTCACGATAGAGGACAGCAGGCGCACAGCTGGGGGAGAGTGGGTGGGTGTTGAGGCGGTGACTGTAGCGGCAAGCGTGGATGCCGTGGATGCCGATGGAGTTTTTATCGTCGTGGCGGTTGTCGCCGTCGTGGCAGCGATGCGGGGCGGACGAGGAGGAAGAATTGCAGCCAAGGGGGCAGACGACGGTGTGCGTGGGCGAGGGAATGCAGGGCAGGGCAGGGCAGGGCAGGGAGCTACTTACGCCTACGCCTACGCCTACCACGCTGTGCTGTGTCTGTGTCTGTGTCTGTGTCTGTGTGTCGATGCGCACACCCACACCGGTCTGGGCATGAATGGCGGCTTGCATGCCGTGCCATGCCATCCTGTGCTGTGCTGTGCTGTGCTGTGCTGCGTGGCCCGCCCAGTCCCGCTGCGACATATACTTACTTACTTACTTACTATACTATTAAGCCCATGCAATTCAATTCCCCTCCTCTCTCCGCGACCGTACGTCTAATTGTCAATTGTTGCTCTCGGTGGCATACATACTACCTCAAACCACCACACACTGTCGTTGGGCGTGTGCGTGTGCGTGTGCGTGTGCGTGGAGCGGCTGGCGGGCGCTGACAGCAGCAACGCCATGCCCCCAGCACCTCGGTCGTCTCCTCATTCGCCTCAATCACGACGCCATTCTCTTCACCCCGACCATTCTGCGTCACTTCTATGCATTCCCCTCTTTCCCCTCGTCCCTTCTGCACACCCCCCTACGGCTGCCCGCATTCACCTTGAGTCATGTGCTTTCCACCTCCCAGTCCCATTCCAGACCATTCCCTCTCTCTGCTAGACTCGGGCCAATCGGGCATGCATACATAAGTACATGTATCCTCCCATGTCCATATGTATCTATCTATGTACAGCTGGCCATGGCCTGCATCTACCCCCTCGAGTCTCTTCGGTTCTTCACTGCACAAAACTCTGCAACAAGCTTCAGGCTTGTGCTTGTGTGGCGTTGCGCCATGGCAGCCACAGCATCATGTTGCTGCCGCCGCCAGTAAGCAATGAATATCCAGCATTAAAATTTCGTCCAATACTAGCCCAGACACTTGCATATCTCGACGTTGTCTTTTCCACGTATTAGCCTTGTACTACTCCACCACGTAAGCACGTACTCATCAACACCATTCCAATTCAACTCCCGACAGCCATGACAATAAGGAGCGTCACAATGCCGCAATGCGACCATCTGCCTGTCATTGAAGCCTCAATACCTCACTATTACAATCTACAAGGATGCAAGTGACGTCACGAGCAGCCAATGCCATTCTGATCCTTAGCTCAAATCTTCATCACAGTGGATCCTAGCAACCTCCAACATGGATATAGCAATGGACCAGCCAAGCACTGCACACAACATCACGCACATATACGGTTTCAGTTTTGTAACATTTCTCATTACATGATTCCAATTCTTCTCCAAACATGCATGCCATCGCAGTCACCCAATACGGTCCAATATCTAATATAAAAGCAATTAACCTCCCGCCTTCTGCAGATCCACAAGGCCACGACATACCCGTCCGCGTAAAAGCCTGCTCTGTCAACCCAGTCGATACCAAAGTCCGAGCAGGAACCTATGATGACTACCCAGACTACTATGACCGAACCCCTAGTCTGCCTCAAATTCTCGGCTTTGACGGCGCTGGCATAGTTGAAAGCGTGGGGTCCGAAGTCGCACATTTCAAGCCCGGCGATGAAGTCTACTACTCTGGCTCACCCATCCGCCAGGGAAGCAATGCAAAATTCCAGCTCGTGGATTCACGAGCAGTTGCGCTCAAACCAAAGAGCTTGGACTGGGGCCAGGCTGCCGCTATGCCCCTAACTTGGATCACAGCCTACGAAGCCCTTGTTGAACGAATGGAGATTCAGCGAGGCGAAAAGGCCGGCATTCTCATCATCAACGGGGCCGGTGGTGTCGGCAGCGTCGCTAGTCAGATTGCGCGCCATGTCCTTGATCTACCTGTTGTAGTGACCACGGCATCGAGAGACGAAACAGTCAAGTTTTCAAAGGACGTCGGGGGTGCTACACACACCATCAATCACCACAAGGATATCTCCGCCGAGATCGAGAAGCTCAAGTTAGACGTCCCTATCAAATACGTCTTCATCACGCACACGCCAACATCGGGCTACCTCGCTCCTGCAGCAAAGATATGTGCCCCCTTTGGAAAAGTCTGCTCCATTGTTCAGGACAAGGAGATGCCCATGTATGCTACAGAATTCATGGCAAAGAGCCTGACTTTTGTTTGGGCCCTGCTAGGTACTAAGCCCTACTACGGCGTTGACGTCGAAAGCCACGGTAGGATATTGGAAGATTTGGCGAGAATGCTAGACGAAGGAACGGTCAAGTGTCATTGTATGCAGAAGCTCAAGCTAGATGAGGAGGGGGTGAGGAAGGCGCATGAGATTATTGAAGGTGGCAAGGCTGTTGGCAAAGTTGCGCTGGAATTCTAAGTGCATAGTAGTTGTATGATATTTATGAGATGAATTTCGAATCTCTCCCCATCCAAAACCAAATAAGAATAACCCATTCCTGAGGAACATTGTAGTATCATAATTGATTTTGACGACTGCACCATTTTTCCGAGCCAAAATGCTGTATCCAGTCACCCCAGATAGCCCGTATCAGCTAATACAAAACATTATAGTTAAATAAGATAAATATGATTACCTAAAGGCCAAGGCTCACGAAGAAATGTCCATCTCATCCTTTCCCCCGGTACTCCAAAATGGAAAGTCCTACGTCACCTTCCGCCTTGTCCATCCCATTCGGGTAATCGTACCCGTCTCAACACCACTCACCCACACCACCACCTATCCTCATCTCCAAACCACCTTACAATAACACATCCCCTTCCATCCATCATGCCAATAACTGTAAGATCCTACACCCTCCCCCCAACCGCTCAAATCCCAAACTCCCCCATCCCCCTCCTACACTACCCAGGCCTCTTGAAAGAAACCGTCACATCTCCCACCTTCACCCCCACCCAGCTCCTAGACCTCTACGCCAAAAACGGGTGGCAAACCCAATGGATCGCAAAGTATGGGCCTGACATTCAATCTCACTACCACTCTACCACCCACGAAGCCATGACCGTCATTTCCGGCGTGGGCGCCACCATCCGTTTTGGCGTTGCCGATGCGCCCGGATGGCAGGCTGGCGCGTATGCGCCTGGGGAAAGGGGTGAGCAAGGGGAAGGAGGTGGAATAGAGATTGAAGCACGGATTGGCGATGTTTTTATTATTCCCGCGGGCGTGGCGCATAAGACGTTTGCTCCGCAACCGGAATCCCGCGAGTTGGCATTTCACCAGCCGGAAGATATCGCTGGGGGCAGGGCTGCGGAGGTAAATGAAAAGACTGAAGAAGAACGAAGGAGGTTTTTCGAGAGGGTCCCGACTCAAGGCGAGTTTATGATGATGGGGGCGTATCCGTATGGAGGGGTGTGGGATTTCAAGGTTGGAGGGGAGAGGGGGAGAGAGCATGTGTGGACTGTGCCTTTACCGGAACTGGATCCGGTGTTGGGGGATAGCAAGGAGGGGCTTGTGGGGTTGTGGAGTTATTCTGGGCTAGAGAGGTAGAGGGAGGAGGGGGAATATGGACATGTTTTTGGGGCCGGGAAAGTATTCTTTTTGATGGATTGAGACATCTGGATGGAGAGGTGGCGCAGTGGGTTTTTCTTCAGGATACCAAGATTCTTTTACCACGATGCCAAAGTATCCGCAAGGCCAAGAGTTTAACTCTCTCTCCCCCTCTGTGATACTGAGATATAACTCCTAGATATCAAAGACTAGTTTAGTATCTCAACTAAATTTCTTTTAGATTTTTGATTAGTAGTAAGGAGTTTTCGAGTTGTAGCGCTAAAGAATTAATCTTAATTTCTTCTTATTCAACCACTACACTACTCTCAAGCTGGAAACACTATATCTAACTACTTTAGAGAGCTATCGCATAGTCAATACAATCTATCATCATAAAATGCGCAATTAAACGGGCTCTTAGCTACCCACGAAGTCCACCCCGCGACCTTCATCTTCAACACACTTATTCTACTACTCTGACACAAATACTACTAGAACCGCTGCGTATCTATTCTAAAATTGGTTCGACTACTCCTATGTATCACGGAAAGGCGGAGCTTGCACTTACGCAGTACCATCGATAAATTGTGACATCGTATTTGTTTTGCCCAGTATCGATAACATAGCGATCACGAGCACAGTTGCAAAAACAACAACGATCATGCGACTCTTCTCTCCCTCTAGTAGGGTGTAGAGCAGAACTGGTGCAAGGAGGACGGCGACCACGATACAGGCAATGAGAACGCGGGTGATGAACGAGCTGTGTGAAACATTGAAGATGAAGATGTTGGAGTCGCGGGAGATGAATCTTTTTTTGGGTCCCTGGTCGCTTTTTTAGTATACTGATTGTCTTGAGGAGATTTACGCGAAACAATGTTGCCAACAGCACGGCGCCGATCCGGTTAGGTGAGCAAACTTTTTTTTTGAAACACTCAATGACAGATATGATGCGGTCTTTGATCCATTATTCTAATGCTTCCACACCAGACTCTTTCTCCGGACCGAGCGTCATCAGATCACGGTTCTGGGGACATGTACTCGCGTTCGTTGCGACCGAGACAAGCAGTGTTGTTGAGAAAGTTTCTCAGACTCTAAACGCTGCGGTGAGGTGCTTTATTGAAAGCTAGAATGTCTTTTCCTCGTTGCACAAATGTATCTAATACCCATCATCAGCGGCCTTTCTGTGCCCCCCCCTCAATTACAGCTTTTTTCTTTCTTGATGAAACTGATGGTTAAATTTACTATAATTTGCTAATCTTGCATTTATTTCGTCTAGTAATGTAAGTCTTTTACTGTTTTGATCCAGCCCGGCTGCAATTGAGAAATACTAGTGCCTATGAGCACGACTCCAGGTCTTGGGCAAAACCATAATCTCCCTTTCGCCGAAGAATGGATACGAGTGGTGAAAGGATTGATGATCTCACTCAATTTCGAGGTTGCTGAACCATCACCTAACCTTCCCGAGGTCTTGGACGAGCTTCGCCGCAGTCAAATTTTACATTTTGCAGTACACCGAGGCCCTAACGATGAAAACTTGTGAGCCAGTTCCATTCTCTTGAGAGACTGGAAGACTAATTATCTCACAACTGAAGATGTTCGCTCAACGTCTCTGGCTAACTTGCCACAGTTTCTGGCGTACCTTTCTGCGTGCTCAACTGGCCCAAACAATAACACAAGTACTCTGCTTGTGGATGAAAACATCCACCACATCAGTAGTTTCAGATTAGCTGGATTTCGTCACATAGTTGGGACACTCTGGGATGTGCAGGACGAATACTGCGTTGATACTGCAAGAGTTTTCTATGGGACGTTGAGAGATGAAGGGATTTCAGATGACGCGGTGTGTCTTGGTCTCCATAGGGCAACGATGACTCTGAGGAACAGGACTATTGGCACACTTGTCAAAGTGGGCTCATCTTTGACGAAGACGAGTGTAGAGACTACCAATGTAACAGTTTGAATATCGTTTAGTGTACAGTGACTGATTAGATTTAGGTCACAACTATCGATGTCTCACAAACAGTTAACGAAACTTCTATAGATCTAGTTGGTGTCAACAAGGCTTCTATTACCTCAGACGTGCGCACGGCTAAACTAGTTAATAGACTAGCAAAGCAGGAGAATAGATTGCACCCGCGGTATTGGGCACCATAGGTTCATTTTGGATTATAGCACGTTTATTGTCTAGTAATTCCTCTAGATATCACTTGGAGCAGGGTTAGAGATAATAGATATAGATACAGAATTACACTAATGTAACTACGAATTAGGACTTCCAAAGGGAGAGTTTAGCATAAGGCCGATTGCAGGAATATGTAATCAGATGGAGTGACCCGAATTAAGCTCACTTCTATATACTATAACTGAGCCTTTTATATTGATTGATAAGAGGAGGTGATTAATAGCTTGACTATGTTTCCTAGAGACACGTTTAGGATTAAACATCCACTTTCACCAGAATGAATCATATTATTGAAAGGCGACAAAGTAACGCACTACCTGTTTACCTCTTCATGAAGCACCCTATGCAGTATATACTGGCTGTGACAACGGCGCGGCTACGAAGGCTGGATACGCCGCTATTTCGGCTGTGGCGGCTTCGTTCAAGGTGTTTCCCAATGCCAGAATATGTAAGCGAGGAGATCAGCGGGACGCGTGGGCATCCGTCGTTGATGTTGTTGTTGTTGTTGTTGTTGTCTCAAAAATACCCCATGCCAGCCGCCATTAACAGCATCTCTCATTTCGCACCAGCACTCCTCTCTACCTCCCTCTGCACCACCACCTTCCGCCTCCGTTCCACCGCCGGATCCAGAAAAGGCGATGGCGTAAGAAGAGGATTATACGAAACCACTATCGGCATTCCGTCAACACATGTATGCTAAAACACAATATGCAATCTCATATGCCAACATACCCTTTGCTTTGCGCGGCTCAGTACTAAACATGACTTCGTCCCGCGACGCAGTCGTGTTTTGCACCGCCGTCGACGTCAGGGATGTAGTGGCTTTCTTCAAGGGCCGCTTTGGGAGGAGCGTGTGAGGCATCGGCAATCTTGAACGCGAGCTCTTTTATATAGTATGTGTATATGTTGGCTTCGGGGATAGTGTGCGGAACATCGGATAGCAGCAGGAGTTGCTGCGACCCGCTGCGTCTTTGGGATCCGTGGTACTGGTACAACGATCGAGTTTATGTTTTGGGTGACGACGCTAAGGGCGGCGTGGAGTACCGCGTGAGGTACGTAGCACAACATCGATTGACAGGTGGAGCCGCGGGTACGTGCCGAGAGTTAGGCGAAGTCCGCTAGACCGAAACAGGAGGCATCCACAGTTTATCAGATAGTCATCATGTAAAGATTTAGACATGCACGGAATCTCATGTTTTTGGGAAGGGTGACAAGAAAGTATAATCAGAGTTTCGATGCAGACTCCATTGTTTATGGTATTATTCTCATAAGTAATAGTTCAATCCTCTCCGTTCTCGAAGTCATGGTGATATCTACAACCCACTCTTCTCGTTCTTCTCGTCGCGTACGCTCAAAGTATCGACGTTCTCGGCATCGCCAATCTCCCTGCCGCCCATAAAGTTGCTCTCCTTCATGTTGTTCAGTGCGTCTTCTTGTTTGTCTGCCTTGCGGAAAGTCATCCAGAAACCAATACCACCACACAAGGCAACAACAGCGACGGAACCGTAGTTCCATACCAACAGAGGATCTTCAGACAAACTGACAAAAGCCTGACCCAGCGCGGCAGAAACTGCAGAGGTGGAAAGGGCGATAGCTTGGACCGTCGACTTCATGTTGTTGGGAGCCTTGGTGTACGCATACTCGAGCTTGGTGATGGATGCCATGATTTCGGAGAAACCAATTAAACCGTATGGAACGACCTGAACCCAAACTGTAATATCGGCGTTGCAGTCCTTACGTGTCTTGCTGAGAGCGTTGATGTTGTCTCCACATGGTGACAGCTTGTAGATGTAGGACTGTATAACGCAAGCCGACACCATAGCTAAAGAGCTAAGCGCGAATCCAGCCGTAATCTTCTTGATGGGCGAGAAAACAATGCCTGCCTTCTGTAGTCCAGGGTAGATGACGAAGTCCATGATCGGAATCAGGATGACGATGAACAGGGGGTTCAGCTTTGCAACGATATCGTTTGGAACCTGACCTAGGTTCATTGTATTTGCTTGAGAAACAAGGTTCCCCTGCATTTGGTTGTAGCTTAACCAATAAAGCGGAAACCACAAGAAAACCTTGCAGGCAAGAATTCCTCTTCTTACTTCGTCAACCCAGGCATCGTCAAAAGTCATCCAATCTGGGACGGGACGGTTGTTGCGGCGAAGAACAGATGGTTTGATCCTCTCCCAGAAATCTCCGTCCTTGAACGTGTTCTTGCGAGGAGAGTTCTTGACACCGAATTTAACAAGCTTAAAGGCTTTGCCCATAACGGATCCTGTGGGTGGTGAAAGCTTGTAGTGCTTCTTCATGGTGACTAGGATGAGCGGGCAAAAGATATAGCAGATCGTTGGAAGCGTGTATGCCCTGTATTCACAGTCAGTAGTTACACAATGAGTTACAAAAGACAGTGATCCTACAGATAGAAGGAGTGGAAGTGCTCCGAGTAGACCATTGCAATAGATCCGGTGATAGAACCACAGTTGATGAGGAAGTAAAAGTAAAGATAAATGCGTGCCGAGGTAACAGCAGGGCAGACAATTTCCTTCTTTCCGTTCTTGCGAACGCGAACATAGGCCCTTTGGTCCTTGTATTGCTCTGCGATCAGGGGCGAGATATTACTCTTGAAGCCACCAGTGCCAATGCCCATGATTACGAGACCAACCGAAAAGATGGAAATGGCGACTTTGGGCTTTACAATGATTGGAGGAATTGCAGATAGGATGAGGATGATGTGACCGATGATAGCAATGATGTTGGAGTACTGAATGGTTTTGTAGCGTCCCCAGTACTCATCAGCAAGCCAGGCACCTCCAAGAGGTGTGATGTAGGACCAAAACTGGTTGAACATATTCAGTCCCGTACTGGCACGCTGGCCCATATCGAGCGCTCCTGGAAGGAGTTAGTAAGATAGTTTATTCGCTACCATGAAGTTCCACTTTACCGGAACCAGGCTTCTTGAGAAATCCAGCGCCTGTAACTGAACCTGGGGGCAAGGGCTTCTGAATGAAATCTAGCGGCTGCAGTTAGTAAAGATTGCAATAAACGAACAGTACGTGACTTGGCTCAAGCTTACTAACGAAGACAGCACTGGTGCCGTAGTAACTGAAGCGCTCGACAAACTCGACAACAGCCACAGTCCATGCTTGCCATGGGATCTTTCCGGCGACTCTGGGGAGAGTGGCCCATTCTTCTTCTGTAGGAAATGGAAAGGCACTGGCGCCGCTTGATACGGAATCCGTATCGAAAGGAATGGGATCAGTCGTCATGGTCGCTCCCTTGGTGATCTCGAGAGACGCCTTGACATCTGTAGTAACCGCCATTGCGCCGTGAGACGGACCAGTGGCTGGTCTGCAAAGGCAAGAGTGCAAAAGCGCGAGACTCGCAGAAGTGAAGTAACACAACGAGCGGTAGACTCAGAGTTAAGGGATGGGTACATGTGCGCCTTCATATAGCGACAAGCGAAACTACACCTCGGGGCATTAGACCAGACTTTTGCATGGATGGCACGCGACAATCAGAGCATTCAACCATGGAATTCGCCTCCTGCTCACATCTAGCCCGTGTTATCATAGCCATTGCATCCAGAAACAGTACCCATGACCCACGGTAACTCGGCTAGTCCGGTCGAAGGATTCTGGCACAAACCATCAGGCATGCTACCGCGGTTAAGCGCGCTGTTGGAGGCTTCCAAGCCCGTTGTAAGACGCTTCATCAAGATAAGATAGGAATGAGGGATGGGGCTGGGCGTTGGATTGGCGCGGCGGAAAGGTTCAAAGAAGACATGCCAAGCGGTGCTAAACAAGAAAAAGATAACGCCAGTCAAAGCTTCTGCGAGGCTCCGCAGTGCCAAGATGTTCCCCGTTTCTTGCTCTTGTCACCTACTGATTGCGCCTTAGCCTCCCCAAGGTACCGTTCACGAGACAACTGACTGGATACAAGACTACTTTATCCATGCGGGCCAAGGGCTTGGTCTTGGGGCAGTTGGGATAAGCGTTTTGTTATTACATGCCTCCTTCTACAAACGAACACGCGCGGCATGATTGTCAATGGGGCGTACTTGTGATGGTGTCTCCTTGCATGGCGAGGAAGCGGCGGTTAATGTTCAACTGAACCAAAGGTGCGCTGGGTGGGGATCGAGAATAGAACATCCACCGAAGTCCCACCAACCCGGATTTCAGACGCCAAAGTGCTCAGAGTAACGAGAGATGTAAATCGAAGTAAATTCTTATGTAAAGAGTGCTATTTAATAGAGACGACAAATCATATGTCCCAGCAAACTCCAAACAGCAAATAGCAAAGAAGGAGACTGTCAAACAATTGTGGCGATTTTAAGACATGCCGAAGCCCATACGCTGGTGACTACGGCTCACAGACAAAACAATAAATGCCGAGTTCGTATCTGCCAAAAGCTAATAACTTCATAATAATCGGTAGATCAAAATAGCCACCTCGACTAAAAGACTACCAACGGGCCGGTCAACAGATGCACAATCATCAGCCTTGTTCCAACTGACGGGATCATGGATCGCGTGCTCGGATAGGTTCATCTCATAAGTGCTCTAACATGTGCAATGGAACGATCCATGACTGCAGCCTTTCCATTACTGGGATGCACATCCTTTCCCGCACTGTTCTCCATAGCCCCAGCGTCACGGTGCAGGCCTGGCATCGCTCTAGTTCTCTAGAATAGTATCACCTGCAGAAAGCTCGTACCCTACCTTGTGTGTTGGAGACCACGTTGACGGATCAATCCATCCCGACAGTTAAATTCCACATGTCCGGCATCTAGCTTGAGATGAGATCCGCCAACCGTCTTAGTAAGGCCATGTACATCTCATCGTTCTTGACGCGACTGCTCAGTGCAATCTTGATTATTTCCCGACTAGAAGGATTCACTATATTCGCGCTTGATCGACTTCGTACTTGAAACCTTCATGGTGTTGTAGTCAAAGGTTCTATTCATAAACCTTGCCGAATCGCAGTCTGATTAAACTCTGATACAGGTCCAAAAGATGTAGGGACGAAGCATTATACGAATAAAAATCAAAAACATCATACGTGGATCACGAAAACACAACCAGTCACAAACTCGATGACAGCTTGATCACTACACAATTTCTTTCGGCTCGAGGATATAATTCGCTGAAAAGATTATAATACACTATGCACATTTTGCCCTTGATTCATCGACCCCTCCTACAAATGCATTCATCCACAAGTGCTAGTAAACGCCCTTGGACCTCAAACGCCCCAAAAAAGACATAATGCGATGTGATCTGATTACGCTCATTCTCATTTTCCCTTCTCATCCATCTCCAACCACTACCTGTTTCCCACATCTACTCAAACTGGTTCTCCCGATCAACCCAAACATCCTCCAGCTCCGCAAAGTTATGGAAATGCAACGGCCTGTGCACAGGGTCGTAGAAGCGAACGGGGGTATCAAGACGCACATGCACAGGCTTCTTCTCGACAGAACCAAATGCGCTGCCCATGAAGCTGTAGTTCCAGATGCCATTGTCAGGAACCAAGAAGTATCCGCGAATCTTGTCAGACAGTAGCAACTGGCACTTCTCACCGAAGCTGGTGCTGAAGCCGGCGGGGTTGTCGGACATAGTATCCTTGTTCTCGGCGCCCCACTTGTAGCCGTTGGGCGTGAGGGCCCAGGCGGCGAGGGAGACGGAACCGGGGGTAAAGGACACGGTCATGGAAACAGTCTTCTTATCCCAACTAGCGTGCTGGTTCATTAGACGAGCATGCTGGGTAACGTCGCTGGCTTGCATGTACGGCGGCTCATTTCCACTGACGGTGTGGATGATTCCCAGCGGCTCTAGATTGTCCAGATACTCGTGTCTCGGCAGCTCCTTTGGCAGCTGCACGTCACGTGTGTTACCAACTTGCGGGATCATGACAATGGTGCAAATCTCCTTCACTTGGTCATTGTCTTGTGGCGACTTGCCATAGAGGTAGCCCGCAACTTGAACGCGAAGATCGGCAATGGTGATAAATCGCTTGAGTACGTTCTTTGGCATGACATAGGTGAAGTGG